AATTATGGTTGAATGGCAGCAATGTAATGCTGCCATTATAGGATGGATATTGGTTGTAATTGGCAGGTGGTGTAGCTTAAAAGCAGGCATATTCTGTCCAGGTTTTACCCAGAAAACCGATCGAAATCGGTCGGAAATCTCAATTTTTTTCCCCAGAAATTCAAAATTTCCGACCGAATTCGGTCGGAAATTTCAAATGAAATCTCCAGATTCTTGAAATTTCCGACCGACATCGATCGAAATTTTTGAATTTAAATTTATTTATTTATTTATTAGTATACCGACCGATTTCGGTCGGTTTTTTATAATTTATAAATAATTATAAGATTATTATATATTTAAAATTTTGACCGATGTCGGTCGCTATTGGAAAAATAAATAAATAAAAAATTTAATCAATACCGACCGAAATTGGTCGGTATATTTAGTTTGATTGTCAGTCAACGCGTTGAATATTGCGACCGTTTTCGGTCTAAAATTTGCGCCCGATTTTGGTCGAAACACCTTCGCGACCATTATTTTTCCGACTAATTAAAAGCGGTCAGAAATCGGTCGCTTTTCCTCAATTTCCGATCGAAGTCGGTCGGTTTTCCTGGACAAAATTATCCAATTTTTTAGTAGTGAATTATAACATTTCATCTGAACAAATCTTGTTAATCATCAAAATCTCAATACTCAACATATTTGAATATGGTGCGGAGGGTTTGACATAATCATCTGTGTGTTGCTAAATACATGGAAAGAAGACTCCTCAACAGGAATTGATAGACATTTAATTTCTTTACAACAATTATATGAAGTGCAACTAGATGATCAGCAGGCAAATTCTGCAGAGGAGAATTTTCCATGTAATTTGCTAATTATTAACCAAACTCAGAAGAGAATTTCTCCAGTATACACAATATATAAATTTTCAAAGGGTGCGATATCTTGTAAAAAAGGATATCTTGATGCCATCTTCTAAAAATGTGAGATTCATTTTATTTTGAAAGTTGGAAAATGCATCTTATTCAATTTGAGTAACCTTAGCTGTTAATTACTGTTTGCGGAATTTGACTACATTCACGGGAGAAGCTAAATCTAATGTTTCGTAGAATTGTAGATCCATAGTTAGCGAGGTTATCCGTAACAAAGCTGATCTTGATATATATATATCTTGCGTTAGACTTTTATTTTCGTTTTTCTAAATAACTTCTGACTAACTTGAATGTGCCTCAACTAATAATACATGTTTTAATTCCTAAAAATGTAAATTAAAAGTAGTAAATCCGTTTCATTTAATTCTCAAACATTAGAGAATTATTTGATCAAGGAAAACAAACATATTTGTCTTCATCCAACCATAAAATTGTCACGACCCGAACTCTCAATGCGGGGTCATAATGGCGCCTAACGTTCACTTGCTAGGCTAGCCAACATTAGCTACACATTATTCATTTTAGCAATTTTAAAAGCAGTTAAATAAGAAATAAAAAATATAGAACTTCAAAATAGATATAACAAATCCTACTACGCCGTCTAGTAAAATAATATACTACAACCAAGGTTTGAAATAAAAGTACAATTATCTGAATGAAATAGCAATACAAGAAATAAGAAGAAGACTTCAGGGTCTGCGGACGTTTTGCAGCTCTACTTCAAGTCTCCGTGAAAAGATCATCCGAGCAAGCCTCCACTAACTGCTGCTGGGACCAATACCATAATATGCACAAGAAGTGCAAAAATGTATAATTGAGTACAACCGACCACATATATTCCGTAAGTGCCGAGCCTAACCTCGACAATGTAGTGACGAGGTTATAACAAGGCACTCACTATAAACCTATACGAGTATAAATGAAATAACAATAAAATAGAGAAAACAAGTATAATATGAAAACTGGAACAGAAAATATATAACAAAAGGCCCAAGAATAACATCAAAGCCCAATTTTCTCAATACAACACGGATACAGAACCAACGGTTAAGAACAGTCAATATGTCTTCTCCGTTACGGCGCAAAATCCGATCCNTATATACACACACACACACAAATACTGTTGCAGCATGCAACCCGATCCCATACAGTAATACCAATATCCGATGCGTCGTGCAACCCGATCCCAAATAATATTTCACCAGTATCTGTTGCGGTTGTAACCCGATCCCACACAATAATACTTATCTGTTGCGGCGTGCAACCCTATCCCACACAATATAAAATAAATGTACAAATAACAATCAACTACGGCGTACCTCAAAATAAAATGCAATAAGAGAATTACATAATCAAAGACATAAAACGGATAAAAGTGGCTATCTAACAACACACAAAGTCATAAAGCAAGTAAAGGGAGTCAATAAGTAAAGATACGGATGAATGAAAATAATTAGCAAATAAAGGCATGTAACGGATAAAGGCATTGATTTAAGAAGTAAGGCAAGTAACAATTAAAGCATTTAACAAATAATAAAATAGATTAAATTAAGGCATGAATTGAAATAATTATAGGCAATAAATAAATATCTCAATCCACATGCTTAACTCGTGACTACGTATATACACTCATCACCTTGCATATATGACGTCCCCACACATAAATCAAGAAGCAAATAGACCAATCAAGTCCTAATTCCCTAAAAAAAAGTCCTAATTCCCTCAAGTCAAGGTTAAATACGATACTTACCTCTTCCCGCAACCAAATGAATGATCAACCATGAATTTTCCTTTAGAACAAACCTCCAAACCAATCAAATCTAGCCAAATATAGTTCAAACAATTCAAAATAAACTTTAAAAACTACTCACGAGTGAAAAATTTTAATCTTTAACTAAATTAAAAATGTCAACCCCAGACCCGCTTGGTCAAAATTCGAGATTCGGACCAAAACCCGTTTACCTATTTACCCTCGAGCCCTGATATGTGATTTGTTTCGAAATCCAACCTCAATTTGAGGTCTAAATCTCAATGTTACAAAATTCATAAATTCTACCAAAAACCCCTAATTCTACCATGAAATTCATAGATTTAAGGTTAAAATCAATGGGTGTTTATGAAAATACATCAATACTAATTAAAAGGCACTAACCAATGAAGTAGGATGAAAATCTCTTCAAAATCCTCTCTAGGCCGAGCTCTAGGTTTCAAAAATATTGTAGAATGACAAAATCCTAACTTAGAATTTTCATTTAACAGGGCGTCAGGTATTCTTCGCGTTCGTGAAGCACGCAGCCCAGTAGTCCTTCGCATTCGCGAGGTCCCCATCGCATTCGCAAAGGCATTCCCATCCAAGCCTCCGCCTGCTGATCGCGTTCGCGATGAANCCCCCCCCCCCCCAACCCAAAGCTACGAATTCACGAAGGGTGTGACGTGTTCGCAAAGGATAATCCCCCCAAGGCTTCGCGTTCACGAAGAGTAACTAGCCCCCAGCCCAAAATTCTCATTTGTGATCGCGAAGCAGTGAGCAATAGAAGAAAAACCAGCAATCTCACAAGTCCAAAAATGGTCCGTAACTAATCTGAAATTCACCTGAGCCCCTCAGGCTCCAAACCGAACATACACACAAGTGTAATAACATTATATAAACTTGCTTGCTACCTGAAATCATCAAAATAACATAAAATAACAAGAATCGATCATCAAAACTCAAGATTTCAACTTGAAAACTCATTTTCACATCTTTCACAAAATGCGCAGAAACTCGCTCGGGTCACCTTGGACCCCAACCAAACGTGCGTACAAGTCAAAAAATATCATACGAACCTACTGTAATCGTCAAAACACCAATCCGAGTTCGTTTACCAAGAATATTGACCGTGGTCAACTCCAGTTGTTTTTAAAGTAAAAAAAAATAACATTTTCCTTAAAATTTCACGTAAAAATTTTCCGAAAAACAACACAGACCACGCACGCAAGTCATTTAACATCAAATGAAGCTATGAGAAGTCTCGGAGCACGAAAATAAGGGCTAGTACTCAAAACGACCTATCGGGTCATACAAAAATAAAATTAAGAAAAAGAAAAACAGAGCAGAAAGATTAATTCTAATGGTTAAGGGAATACGTAGATAGTCATCTTAAGTCATATGGTAATTGTATTATTCAAATGTTCCTTTTAGTAGGATAACCATATTCATTGAATTTCGAAGTTAATTACTGTATTATTCCAGAAGGTAGGATACTACATTATTTAAATTTAAACTAAAACTGGAGGTGTAATTTAAGAAAAACATAGATCATTCAGGTAGGACTCCACTCAATAAATTCAAAATTTAAATAGAGTAAGATTCACATAATCAGATTTATCAGAGGCATCATGAAATTGAAAAACAAAAACGAATAAATCATTACAGGTAATGACACAACCATGCATGAAAGTCAAGGAATCAGCTTAATTTGGATTACGTCATTTTCTTTTCTTTTTTGATGTGCCTGACATATGTTAAAACTTCTGTAATTACAAGAAAGACGATAGAGAAGTTAAGATATGATGTTTTATTTTAGTTTTTGATTAATTTTCCATTTCATAAAATTATTAAAAGATAATTCTTACATCTCTTATATTATAATTATGTGGCTAGCAAGTTTCTTTGGTATGAAAGTCATTTTTGGAAAAATATTTTCGAAACATATGTAACTTTCTGAAAAATATTTTCAGAATTTTTTTTCATATTTGGTTAGGATAGAAAATAACTGCCAAAAAATCATCTTTTAAACATTGATAATAAAGTTAGTAAATTACATAGTAGTGTTTTTATGAAAATTTTAAATAATAAATATTAGTAATAATATTGTATATGTATGTTTTAGTTGAAGAAATGATAAAAAGTTAACTAAGAGTAGAAGTATTTTTTTTTTCGGAAAAGAAATTCATGGCTTACCAAATACACCGAACATTATTTAATTAGTAGCCTTAAGCAACAGACCAGAAATGCAGCATAAAGGGATAATTAAACAACAAATTTTAAAATAAAAAAAGAATTAAAATTAATAAAATCCAAACAAAATTTTTGTTCCTTTTGAACTAAATAAAAAATTTAAAACACAAAAAAAGCCTTATTTTGTCATAAGAGATACGTCAACAATTGTGGGTGGGTGGTTATGTATGAACTGGTCTTATCGCCGGTACAGTTACACCAAACGTAAATAAACTCGAACACTTGCTTCCTCCTCCACTTCCACCGCCGCCGATCACCGGAGCACCACCACCATTCACCAATGCCGATTCATTCCCATCCGTCCGATCAACCTTTACCCGATCACAACCGCCCGTTACAACGCTATCATCACAATTCTCTTCTTCTTTCACACACTCATCAACATCAACATCATCATCGTCGTCGGAACACGAAACGTCGTCGTTTAATGGAACCAGATTAAGCATTAATCGCCCATTAGTACGGTGAGCCTCGAAATACTCAAACCTTTTTACTTTCTCTTCTTTGATAATCAATCGGCCGTCAGGTGTATAATACCTCTTCATAACCCACGGCATTTGTGAAGTCGGCAAATTCTCCGTGTGCGACAGCCACGGTATTGACGGCGGATATTCTCTCTCTATTTTCTCCTTCTGCTTCTCTCTCTTCATCGCCATTCTCTCTTCTTCCCTTCTCTCGAAGCCGCCGCCGCCACCGCCGCCGCTGAACCACTTATAGGGTTCCAAATTCAAATCAGATTTTAAATCAACATAGCTCTCAACACCAACATAATCAGCCAAACCTAGTGAATGTTCATTTTTTGATGATTGCATGGGAGAAAAAAGAGAAAAATCTAAAGGGGTTTTGGGAAGAGGAGAATTTGGAGGTTTTTGATGTGATGAAGGTTTTTGCATGGCATGGGGTAATGGAGATTTTGAGGTGAAGAGAGGGGTGTGTGTATATATATATAAGGGGGTGAGGTGGGGTAGGGGGTGGAATATCGAGAAAAGAAGAATATATTGAAGAAAGGGAAAAATATATTTTGGCAGTGACAGCTAATAGTTTGCTCATGAAATCTCCGGGGATTGGGCTATTCATTTAAGGGATTTGTGGGGTTAGCAGAGAATTTTGGAATTTTGGATTTGATTTTTTTGGCTATGGTAAAACTCTATTCCGGGATTTACTGAAGGTAATTAAACAATGTGACTATCTAATTAAGGGTCAAGAGAATGAAGCATGAGATTAATATGCATTTTTAAGAAGATACGAGGGCACTAGTCTTGTTCAAAGAGGAGTTCGCCTATGGTAAAAGAAAATTACTGCTTACACCAAATGACACGTATTCTTATATACAATGTGATGTATATCCTCACTCTAATTAATTACTTATCATGATAAACTAATATAGTTAGATATAAATATTGAAATATATGGTATTTATAATATTCTTCTATATATTATATTATTCCTACTCATTTAACAGATAAGGACGGCCTGACATCATCAAGTTATTGAATAACTTGTCAATTGAAATTAAAGTAAGTTACTAATAAGCTAAGTATATTAATTACTTGCCTACTACAAGTGAAGTATGGTAAAGCTAATTAAGAATTTGAATGCACAAACTCCAGACTAACCTTAACAATAATCCCTACATAAGGAGGACAAGAATCTAGGAGATAAAAAATGTACACTTGATATTTCACTTACTATTCTCTTTCTCCCTATAATAATAATAAATATAGAAAATAATATATGGAGAAGTTTTAGGAAAACAACCTAGAGATCATTAGAAAAAGTTGGAAAAATATCTTGAAACTGCTAACTTTAACTTTTATAATGAGATGTCAATGATTGATGATAGTCTAGTTCTAGCATGGTACTACTTTAGTACTAGTAATATAATATAATATTATTATTTTTAAAAGTGAAGAATGAAGTGGGGCTTGGGATAGTTGTTTTTTTGCAAAATAAAAGGAAGACAAATGAACCTTAATTTGTATCGTTTATATATTTGACAGAATGTGTTAATTAGGTGGCATGTCCGTGTACACCTAGCCATGTAGGTTTACACGTGGGCGGCACGTGTTTAGGCACCTTCTTGGCCTGATTGTAGGACACTTATGGTTCAGTTCTGCCTGTTAATATTTCAGTAATTGGCATTGCCAAGAGTTGAATTTTATAAGTTTAAGATTTTATATATATATATATATATATATATATATAAGATTTAAACTAAAATCACTAGATTTGGCCAATCCAGCTATTAAATATCTAGTGCTCTGAAAGGTTTGGTCATGCGCGCCTACAATTCCCCTTTTTCATTTTTTTTGAAAATATAATATGAAAAGTAGGAGTAGTATCTTTTGCGAAGTACAAGAGAATTTAGGAATTATCTTATAAGAGAAATTAAACGAAAAGGTTACATTTAATTTTGGAGCAAAGGGACAAAGGTTTGACCATAAACACTATTTTACAAAAAATTTAATTTTATCACAGCAGAAATCCATTTTAATATTAACTTTGGCCCGAATCTGGTGTTACGCACTATCCTAATGAGCAATATCTAATTATTTCTCAATCCTACTTTAACTCAGTTTCTTCACACAAAAACAAAAAAATCCTTAAACCAAGCTAATAATTTGATAGAAAAAGCAAATTCTAAACCCGTCAAAAATCTATGACGAGATCCCAACTCCATCAACAAAGATCGTCCCTAAGACAAGTGTCGTAGCCACCAGCCAAATAAAGCTCTTATATTATTCTTTTAATCCCAACAAATTTCAGCTGAACGTCACAGGGTTTTTTAAAAATGTTTCTTTATAAAGACTATTATAAGCTAATTAATCAGTCAAACATAAGCAAACAATCATTAGGGGTTTCAATATTTTTAAATATTAGTTGCATAAGCTGCTAGAATAATCAATCAGCCAAAACACAAATTAAATAAGGTGATGATGATAGGCGATAAACGAGTTACGTAAACAACAAATTCACGCGATTAAGTTTATAAAAGCTGGATTACTCCAATTGTGGAGGAGGTATTATCAAGCAAAAGTTGTCTACTCAGAGACTTGAACGGGTTATCTGGCACTAAACTTGGAAGACTTCAACCTTTGACACTGATCTTCCATTTTGTTTTCCTCTTAACTTCTTAAAAGAAGTTCTAATAACGCCCTTAATCTTTTAAGGTTGGTAACTTGGTATATATGTTATAAATACTTACTTCAAGTAGATTTGAATAATACATACGACTAAAAGTCTTGAGCAATTTATTTTCTAGAGTTTCAAAATATTCAGATACTTAGAGTGTGTTGGGTATGACGAAAAATATTTTTCTTGAAAAATATTTTATGAAAGAATAAGTGATTTTCTTACTTATTTTCTAGTTTGTGGATAAGTAGCAGAATTTTTTTTTTTTGAAAAATATATAATATAGGCAAAAACTATGGGAGACGAAATGGATAAGGGCGGAGGACGATAGCAGGAGGGGGTCTAGGGGCCGTGGTAGCAATGAGGGTGACCAACGGGGGGTGGTGGGTGGTGGGTGGAGAGTGGGGGTAGAGATGAGGGTTTAAAAATATTTTTCAAAACATTTAGCCAACCAAACATGAAAAAATTGAAAGATATTTTCTAAAAAGTATTTTCCTTCTTACCAAACACATCCTTAGAATCATATTTATAGACCTATAATTACTTACTATTGATATTTTTATTTTACAGAAAATAATAGATATTTTTAAGTAATTAAAGCAGGAAATATGTAAAAAGACTTCAAATCAATTAAAATAAAAATTTGATTATTTAAAATATAAAAATTTAGAATTGCAGCAATCCAATCAATGCCTTCAACCAAATAATTAAGTTACAATCAAACTTTTGAGACTAATGAAACAATAGAAAGAAGAAGTTTGATCAAGTAAAATGGGATAAAAAGGTATAGAAGAAAGCTAAAGGAACTAATACAGGCATGAACTTCCAATTCTTATACGATTGTATTGGATAATTCATTTTAAAAAGTTACTGAAAGGGAATTATCATACTTGATACTTCCTCTTCTTTTTTTCAATGTTTAGCTAAATTCATTTGGGGGTGGTCTTTTAACTTTTCACCTCTTGCCCATGAACTTCAAAAGTTAAAAGTGTTACCCACGGGTCAAGCAAGAGGCAATACGTGTTAAAACTTAAAGTTCTGCCCATGGAACAAGCGGAGATAAAAAATCAAGACCATCCACTTTAAGGGTTGTTTGTGTAAGTCACAATACTGGGCTTCACTTAGGTTGGTATTCTCCCTTACCCAACAAATAAACATATTAAAGGTACTACTACTAAATTTGAACACAGTTTTATTAGCTTTTGCACCAAACATGACTTGAATACTACCAACAGATGATACTACTAGATGTAGGAATTACAGAGCAGAGATTTTCACGAGTTAATTAAGATCTCCGAAACCTTAACAATGTAGTCAATGAAGTATTATTGCTGTTACTACCCCACCATTTTTCGTTTGTTATATAAGGGACTGAGGGAGATGAGGGTCGATGGACTATGATCCTCAAAAGCTTATGACAAAAGTTCATGAAGGTTTCGACAATGGACAAGAATGTTAGTACCTCTTGGTACTCCGTATGTTTTGGCTTGGCTCTGGATCTTTGATTCAATCCTTGTACAGGAGAAGGCAACAACAACAAACCCAGTGTAATCCCACAAGTGAATAGAGGGTAAGATTTCACAGAAACAATATTGATGTAACAGCTAAGATAATCTGTCGGTACTCCATAGTACACACATTATAGAGTCTGAACCTCAAATAATGGCAAACGAAGAAGCTAAACAGACAGAGATATGGAATGACAGGAAAATCTACTGAACTCATTCAGAAATGCAAAATGGTAGTATAAGGAAAATTGATCTGTGAATAAACCATAATGTACCTGGCCTCATAACTTCTGGAGAAATGATAAAACCAACATAACTAGATAATACCAAGATCCTCTATAATCTTTGGTATAACCCCGAAATACAAGAATAAAAAGATAGTACAGATTTTCTCAACTCAGTAAAATGGTTTAAAAAAACCGGGTGAATATCTCTTAGTGATCACCAGGAAGAGACTTGATGATGTCCGAATCACCTGAAACAACATTATTACCACATGTAAGCCAAACTGAGAGCTTCCCTGTAGTACTTGACTCGCAATAACATTTCACAAAACTGCAATTGAAGATCTCAAACACACTTTACCTGGGTCAATGATGCTGAGGCATGACACACGGAAATACTTCCCACATGCTGTTCCAAGATCAACATTGTCTACACGCAAAATAGTTGCAACGGAAAAGGAACATATACATAAGAAGTCACCAAAATACTTGTTTTAGTCTAAAAACAAAATCACAGAATGTTACTCGACACTGACAGGTAAAACATTCCAGCACCCCCAACCCCAACCCCCTGCGCCAGAAAAAGATAAACAGTACACAAAAGCGTAAGCCAAACACCCAAACCTGAAGAAATGACATAGAAATGCAATACCTCCGCAAACAAAGATATACCAGGTACGACTTTTAGTAGAAGTTACTTTTAATATATCAACATTGCACTGACTAATAGAGCTCAGCACCAGAGGCGGATCAAAGATTTAAACTCTATGGGTTCAACCTATAAGGTTCTTAGTATTGAACCCATTATATTTTCAAAACTATGGGTTTATATCTACTATTTGATGCAATTTTAGTGGATTTTTATAAGTAAATTTATGCTTGCGCCGAATGTTATGTGTCCAATTGAACCCGTCCCTAAAATGCTACACCGCCCTTGCTCAGCACCCCTAGCCCACCAACATTATGTTGCAGATAAACTACTGAGCACTTACCTACGTTTCATTTTCGCAAAACAAAATGCAAAGACAGGTAAAAATCTCAATTCCAATTTAAATCTTTTGAATGAAAAGCTTTTGATTTTGACAATCTCACAAAGATGAAATTTCAGTGAACTGTCTGATCTCATCTTTTAAGATCCTTAAAAACTTAAAATCCCTACTAATAAACAAAAATTCCCTACATGATAAGTTAAAAGAGGTCTCAGCACCTCCACTTCAGCATATCAACAAATTTATAGTATATCAAGTAGACTTGGAGTTAGAAAAACACAAAAAATTGAGATTTTTCAATTGCTAAAATGTACAGAATTAATGCCTACATAAATCAACCCCAAATACTGGAAGATAATAAAAATTAAAGAATTGATGAAAAGACACTCACTTCCATTGAAATGGTGAACACCAACTTTAGCAAGCATAGCATAGTACTCAATCTCTGACTTTCTCAATGGTGGGCAGTTGTTAGATATCAATATCAACTTCCCTGCAATTTCCCAACCATATTTTATTCCCTATTTAATTACAATAAATGACACAAATTCTCCGCACAAAAAAAAAAAGAAAAGAAAAAAGGGGAAACCTTTGGAGCTCCTGAGAGTCTTGAGAACAGTCTTGTAACCAAGAGAGTACTTGCCACTCTTCATTACCAGAGCTAACCTATTATTGATACTCTCATGGGTCTTCTTCGTTTTCTTCCCTGTTGTCGCCATTTTTGTTGATACTAAGATCTGTGAAACAAAGAGGGAAAGGGGAAAGGGAAGTGGCCGAGGTTTCTACTGTTAGTTATATTAGCTTAGGGTTTTGCCTTGTGCGGCTTTTGCCTTTTTGTGATGAAAATCACTGTTGTCTGGTCACGTGTACTGCACGTGCTTGTGAGGATGTTGAAATATTTTATATAGAGTCCATAAGAACCTTGTTTGTTCTAATATTTTTTTTATTTTTATAATGAATGATTATTATGCAACTATAACCAGTATTTCACGTTTAAATATTTTTTGATTGATATAGATAAAATTATTCAAAAATTAATTATTTTTCCTTTTTTAATATTACATATAAAAGATAAAAAAATTATTTAAATTTAAAAGCTTAAAAGATATGCATATTTCACTCGTTAAATATTAAACAAAACTAATACATTGTTAATAAATTCATAACTAAACGTATAAAGATTTAAACTCTAAGACATATTTTAAAGTTACCTCGAAATATAAACTCTTTCAAGATTGATGGAAGAATTTTGTAATTGTAGCTTGTTTCATAGATTTCATTCTCTTAATAACGATATAACGCTTCAATTGGCGAAGATTCGTGTCCAAATTTTCAGCACAAAGGTATTCAATAACTTTTTCCTAAAGACAATCTAAGAGGTAAATAGTTAAATTTTCTATCTAAATACTTTTTGAAATTTGTCCAATGAAAAAGATATCGTGTGAAAATCTTCAAATCTTATATCTTATGCAAGATAGAAACTTTAATTAATGGAAAATATTGTGTGCATATTTTTAGAATTATTATTAGTAATCTTAAGATTCTATATGGTTTTTATAGATGGGTAATTTTACAAAGAGCGTTCTGCTATAAATATGGTTGTTGTTATTGTTATAAGTAAAAAACTGTTATAGAGAGGTAAAATATAACTTAAAAAATCAGTTCTGAGAAAAACTTGGTTTTTATAGTGAATGGTTGTTATATAGGGATCTTGTTATAGAGAGGTTTGACTGTACTCCATGGATCTGCATTAGTTTGGAATCTTTTTTTTTTTAGAAAAGGCAAATATTGGTGTTAGGAAACTAAGCTAAAAGTAATAATATATAACAAGAAAAAATATAGACAAGAGATATAGAGGGGAAAGAGAGAACTTTTTTATTTCATCAAGTATATATTTTCTAAGTGTGTATAATGTGATGCCCAAACCTTCCATTTATATGATGATATTGAGGTAATACAAAGGGATATCATGAACATGGTATTAACTAATAAGATCATGAAGGAAGATCACGGGGAGGTTATGGATGTGTGGGAGTTACAACTATAATGGTGAGAAGTAGTGGGGATTATCTACATAATAGAGAAGAGTAGTGGGAGTTATATTTTATTAGTGAGCATCCATATAATATGTATTTCATAACACTCCCCCTTGGATGTCCATAAATAATGTGCAAAATCCTCTCGAAAAATATCTTAGTGAAGGAAAAAGAGTACACATATTTTATAATACACATTGTTTGTTGCCTCGTTAAAAACCTTGCTAGGAAAACTCAGTGAGATAAAATCTTAGCTAAGGAAAAAAGAGTACATCGTGTATTTGTCTCCCCCTGATGAAAACATCACTTTATTTCAGGGAGACGATGCATTTCAATCTTGTATTTCAACTTCTTACACATTGAGGTTGGCAATGCCTTAGTGAACAGATTAACCAAATTATCACATGAACGAATTTGTTGAATATCTATTTCATCATTATGTTGAAGATTGTGTCTGCAAAAAAACTTTGACGAAACGTACTTTATTTTGTCTCCTTCAATATATCTTTCTTTCACTTGAGCTATGCAAGCAGCATCGTCTTTAATATTATTGGAACCTTCTCTTCAAAGAAAAGTCGCACATCTAATGTGTGTTGAGTCACTTGTTTTATAAGTTGCTAGTATCTTGGTATGACTTGAATAAGTATTAATAATTGACCATGTTGTCGAATATCATAAAGTAGTATTACCCTCACGTACAAATAAATTGTTTGAAAAACTAACTTCAAGAAATGCCTACATTTACATAACCAACAAAATCTTGACAGTATTATTAGAATAAATAAATCTATACCAAGGATTTCTTTTACAATATAATGCTAATTGTATATCAATATCTCCACATATGAGTAAAACTATGTCTTGCTAGTACTCATGGTTCTAGCAAGATACATTAGTGTACCAATTGCACTAGACACAAAAATAAATCATGTATGACATGATTGCTCTAATCCACATAAGAATTTGCTTAAGCTTTATTTAATAAGTTTCTTGAGAACCTTAATATGCTTTAGAACAATTTAAATCTGTCAAGAATTTTTATTATACGCATATCAAATGTATTGTTTGACCAAAACCTGGAATTATTGAATCCACCACAAGAGAACATATCTCCATATAATCAATGCCAGGATATTTACAAATCTTCTTGTGCCACAAGTCGTTTTTATGTATATCGACTTGATTTTTTTATCTAACTTTTCGCACAAGAATACATTTATACCTCCACTGCTTTATACTTTCAGGTGTTGGGACTATCCGTCCAACTTTATTTTTTCAGGTGAAGTCAATTTACATTGCGTATTTTTCATTTGGCCAATCATTTATCTTCCAAAATTCATGAAAGATTTGAGCTCAAGATCCTCGTCAATATTAATAATATTGAGCTACATTATATCAATAATATCGTCGAATCATTTTATATTGGTTCCATCGTTACCCAATAAAGATATAACTTATTGAGATATGTTTATCTTATTATTTTTATGTACATGAGCCTCTCCCGTGAGGTCTTATGAAGTGTTATGTCGTGGTGCTCTTCTAGAGTACTTGCCTCGTTATTATGACCATCTTGATTATTTGTTCCACTCCTTCTTCAAGGAGTTTTATCTTTGCAACCAATTAGTCTATTACGCTTTATACGTGCTATAGATTTTGTCCATCATGGACTTTCTATTTGGAGCATTAGCAGTTAAAATATGATATTTAATTTTGGGTCCAAATGCGCCTGATAATATTTTGCAAATGAATTATCACTTAAACTTCAAGTTCATTTTTTGTACAATAATCTAGGTGTACTTATAATAATTCATTTCATGTATTACTTTTTCAACTGTCCATTTTCTCCCCTTAATGTTGGGATCACCAACACATATCCCCAATCTTTCTTGGGGATCCATCTTTGTGTATTGTGGATGAACAATTAAATTATATGACACATCCATATTTCTAGATGGAAATTATTTATTTCCTGACCCTGGACCAATTGTGATAGGGAAAAATTATCATAACTTGTTGCTAGATGCGTACAAGTGCTGTTGTTTATTAAATAATACACCTCATACCAAATTTATTTTTGGAAGTTTTGTTCTCATAACCAATGGTTTAGTTATAATTGGAGGCATACAATATTTGCTAAACCAACTTGGATTTAAAAATATTATCAAGATAAATCATCATAATTTATATTCTGAAACTGTGCTCTAATATTTTAAGCAAGCAACATTGCAAAATCCAAAATACAAGTTAATAACAAATACACATGTGACCATACAATGGATGTATCTATTAAAATCATATAATAGTAAACGGTCCACATAGCAGGTGACTAGGCCCATATATATATCACCTTTTATTTGTTCTAGAAATCAAGGGATTCAATCCCAACCTTAGCTGGTATATCATGAGAATAAACAACACAAGAGAATTCTTGAAGAATATTCTATTTCTTCAATATATGCGAATGCAATTCTCAATCAATATTTTGCATCATAATTGAACCGGGATAGCTAACCGCTCATGCCAACTAATATTTATTTCAGTAAACCTCTTGTTTACTTGTGGCACATGATTCCATCATCATGCTTATACTTGTGTAGTACAATAGAAGAAAAGTCAATATGATTATAGTAATATGACTCAATATTCCTTTCATTTATAGTCTCAATATGCCAACTACTTTGGTTAATATATTTGAAACTCAAAAAGTTTCTTTTGAGACTTTTACAATATCAATGTCATAAATAATATTATTCATCGGGGTAGTAATAAATTAGTTATTCCAGGATTCTTAATTGATTTTATACTACAAGATTTTTATCACAATTCACACCATCCATATGGTGAATGTCTCCTTCAGGGAGAAAATCATATCATAATAATTATCATGGTCAAAATCATCATAAGCAAAATTATTTCTTGCTTTAAGTTTGCTTTTAATAACTTTTTATAAGGCACGACAAATCTTTTTTGGCGTACCACATGTACGCGACCAATGACATATTTATGTAACCACATTGTAATGTTCATTATCTTTCTTTCTCTCAAACCTCCCGTATAAATGAGTTGTAGTATTTACTCAACCATGCATAAGCACATTCTTATGCATAGTTTATATCACATGTATATTTCCACATTCACTTTTAGGAATAAGTATGCATTTACAATGCCGGGGGTGGATTTAGGGGGGTGGAAGGGGATTCACCCGAACCCCCTTCGCTGAAAAATTATACTATATATATATAAGGCAAAATCTATTTTTTACCTCTATATATTAAGTTTTGAACCCCCTTGACACAACCCAAAAGTGTAGCTTAGTAGTTAAGGGGGTTCAAAATCGTTGAAAAGTCATAGGTTCAATTCCCACTAGCTACGATCTTTTTTTTCTTGAACCCATTTCGCGGAGATCCTGGCTCCACCACTGTACAATGTCTATCACAAGTCACATTTTCAAAGAATGAACCATAATCATCTGAAGGTGCCTCATATTTACAGACCATATTGATACAAATTTCCTTCACATTTGAAGGATTATTTTGAGAACCCTTATCGTTCTTTTTTTTATAATTATCATAATGATAACTATTATTATTTTGGTCTTTGGCACGCTCACATTCATTCGTCAATCACTTGTCTTCATTTAGACTTATTATGCATCGCTGCCATATTCACTTCAAGAATGTAGCAAATCAAATGGGACATTTCATGAAAAATATATTATTTTTTTTAGTCATCATTATATCATCAATACGGTGCATTAGGACTCAAAC